CAAACTGAAATATAAAGTAGACATAATATAAATGTATTAAAAGTCACACGTTGAGGTATCAGGGTTAACTAGCTTATGTAAAGGTGCTGTAGTGCACTAATTGTCCAGCAGAATCACTGTCAGTGTGACCTCCTAGCAGCAACATTCAGTTCAGTGATGGCTCTTGCATAAAAGCTGTTCAACAGCCTGGTGGTGCAGGTTTTTATCGCCCTGTATTGTTCACCAGATGGGAGACGTTTGAAGAGATGGTTAGCAGGGTGGGTTGAGTCTTTGTGATTTTTCGAAGGCAGTGAGTGTTGAAGATGTCATCCAGGGCAGGCAGGTGTGTGTTTGTTATTTTCTCTGCAGTTTTGATTACTCTCTGTAGGGAATTCTTATCTGCTGCAGAGCTGCTGCTGTACCACACCAGGAGGCTGTTGGTCAGGACACTCTCCATGGAGCAGTGATAAAACCACACCAGCAGTTTTTGTGGCGGGTTGACCTTCCTGAGAACCCTCAGGAAGTATAGCCGTTGCTGTGCCTTCTTCATCAGACATTTGGGTCCAAGTGAGGTCCTCTGATATGTTTGTGCCCAGGAACTTGAACTGTGAAACCCTCTCCACCTGCTCTCCATTTATTGCGAGCGACTGGTGCTCCACCTTTTTTGCTTTTTGGGTCAGTGATGAGTTCTTTGGTCTTGTTGGAGTTCTGGGTCAGGTTGTTAGCTGTACACCGGTCCACCAGCTGCTGGACTTCTTCCCTGTACGTTGGCTCATTTGCCCTAGCTGATTAGGCCCATCACGGTTGTATTGTCAGCAAACTTAATGATAGCATTGGTGTTGTGGGTGGGGTTACAGTCATGTGTGTACAGGGAGTACTGGAAGGGACTCAGCACTCAGCCTTGAGGAGCTCCTGTGCTGAGGGACAGAGAAGAGGAATGGTGGTGGCCTAGACTCTGTTCAGTTTGTTAGAAAGTCTTGTATCCAGAGACAGATGTTGCACTCAAGGCCAAGGTCAGACATCTTGTGGAATAGTCTGCTGGGGAGAACGTTGTTGAATGATGTCCACAAATAGCAGCCTTGCAAATGTATCTGGTTGTTCCAGGTGTGCCAGAACAGTGTGGAGGGTGGTAGAGATGGCATTGTCTGATGATCTGTTGGTTCTGTAGGCATATTGATGGGGTCCAGTGTGTGTGTGTGTGTGTGTGTGTGGGGCGAGGGCTTGATCTGTAGCAGCACTAGTCTCTTCATGCACTTCACAATGAGAGGTGTTAAAGCTACAGGCCTGTAGTCATTGTGGCTTGTTATTGCAGACTTTTTGGGTATTAGTACTACAGTAAAGGTTTTTAGACCGGTGGGGACAGAGCACAATGTTGAAGATGTCAGTGAAGACCTCAGCCAGCTCCGCTGCACAGTCACAAAGCCCCCTTCCCGGAATGCCATCTGGACCAGCTGCTTCCCTCGTATTAACACCTCTGAGTGTACGCTGTACCTCAGCGGTCTGCAGATGGAAAGCACGTTGAATTGCCTCTGTGTATGAAATGTGCTATACAATAAAAGCTGCCTTGTCTTGCCTTTATTTTTTAATGAAAAACACATTTTCATGGAATTCAGATGGTGTTTGAAGAAATATCAAAGCATTTCCATAGGGGCAGCAGTAGCTCAGACGGTAGAGCGGGTTGCCTCATGATCAGAGAGGGTCATGGGTTTGATTCCAGCTCCCGCCAGGAAACTCTGTGTACAGTCGTGTAAAGTATCTGTCCTTGGGCAAGACACTTCACCCAACTTGCCTGTATTGGTGGTGGTCACAGGGGTCGACGGCGCCAAATGGCAGCCTCGCCTCTGTCAGACCGCCCCAGGGCGGCTGTGGCTACAAAGTATACCATCACTGGCAGTGTGTGAATGTGAGAGTGCATGAAAGTGTCTTTGAGTGTCCTAAAAAGCACTATATAACATCTTTGGTGTGTTCTTACTGTGTTTAGTTTCTAATTCCATTTTTGGTTCTTTTTAAAACACAGGAAAGGTTTTTCTTGCAGTCGGCAAACGAAACGTACGTCAGCAAGGTAAAGAAAAACCTTTCCTGTGTTTTAAAAAGAACAAAAATGGAATTAAGCATTATATAAGTTTTATGTATTATTATTATTATTATTATTATTATTATTATTATTATTATTATTATTATTATCAGCAACCTTTAGTCCCATGAGTAAGTTTCCTGGTATGGCTAAAATCCAAGTTAATCATTTTAGAACAAATTAAAATAAGTTTTTTGAAACTGTATTGAGGGTTTTGGAGGTGGTAAAATAGATTTCTACAGGGTAGAAAGGATTTTTAGGACGAAAGGTTATCATTAGACACAGTACCTTACATTAGCATGTCCAAACACACTTCAGTGTCGGCAATATATAAACACTGGTGGTGGTAATGATAACTGCAGAACAATGCTAGCCTGTGCTACAGCTAATGCTAGCCCAAGCTACTGCTATTGCTAGTCTTAGATGCTTCTAAGAGGAAAAGAACAAAGGAGAATGTTGGTGTACTCGCATTCCAGAATGAACATCTAGACTTTTAATGAACACCTTGCCTATGGAGTTATCCAGATACTTTACACGACTGTACACAGAGTTTCTAGCTTCAGCCAGCGTGATTAAGCCATTGGGATAAACCTGTCAATCAACACACAGCTAATATAATATTACTGTCCTGCCCAAGTAGGCGAGGTCAACCAGTCTTTCCATTGTAGGTTTTTTTATGGAGTTGTGTTTGGCCATTTATCAGGGCTCCTGGGCCATTGTGAGCCCCAACAAAGTTTTGTTTCCTATTGTAAAAAAGATGCTCTAGGACCCCTGTAAAATGCATATAGTTTCAGTTTGACATCAAATCAAACAACATTGCATGTTTAAAATTGATTAAACAATATTGTTGTATGTAAGATTTAATTAAATTTAGCTTAGATTTCTTGTTTTAATAAAAACAACAACAATAAGAAGAATTTGACTTTATTTTTCTGCCTTAAAATTTTGAATTGATCACCAAATTGTGTAATTCCACAGAACATTAGTGATGAAATAAGAACACTCTGTATGAGGAACACCTTTACACCACAATCTGTGTGTGTCATTGATTCTGATTTTGTCTCACCAAGGAAGTGACACAGCTGCTAAAGTCAGCAGATACAGAGACAGAGGGTGAGAGACCATGTCATTGTCATAGCAACCTGCCAAACAATGGGGTGAGGCAGCTAAGGAGGAGATGAAATTACACAGTTTTACCCCCGTCAGGGGGGAAATCACCTCATTCAGCACACACACACACACTCGTTAATGAACAATCCATCTTTGAGTGAAGAAGCACAGTAGATGAATTCACACCTGACGACTGACACCTAAAACTCACCCAGTCCATCGAACGTTCAGGCTTTGTTGGTGAGATGCACAAATCACACTGCATGCTCACACACTACTGACACCCCTCTTCTTTGTTCCTCGCCCACCATCACGTTCATAACAACATTTATAATCATCTACATGACAATCTGTGTGCAGCTCGGGGTTTGTGCTGAAGGGAAGCAGTGCATGCTGGGATAGCGGCCTGCTGAGAGAGTGGCATTCTGGGAGGCGGTGTCCTGCGGGCAGGGGCTCTGGGGGATGCAGTATGGTTAATAGGCCTTTCATGGATGGCCTACAAAGCCTTTTGTCCACGGGCTAATTCATCCTGCACAGCATGGAAAGTTAGAGGGAGGAGAAGGGGGGTGCACCATGGAGAATTTTTTTGGAACAGGGTGGGGACTCCCCAGTTTCTTTTTTTTTTTTTTGCCCCTCTTTATGCTTCATGGTGTAGTGCAAGGTGGCGCTAGTGAGAGGAAAACACAACCTGCTCAGTAGCAACACTGACAGAGTGTGTGTAGCACAGCATCTGGAACAGAGTAAAACTTTAAAGAGGTCTTCAAAATTAAAGTTCTACTAGAGTTTCAAAATAAGAGTGAGGAATAATGATTATCTGCAACAATAACATCTTGTAACTAAGCATGCTGCAGCTTTCCTTGTGCTTTGAAAATAGCTTATTTTATCATCCATCTTGATTCAGACTGACAAATAAAGTTTGAGTTGTAGATGTGCATGTAAAGACTACATTCAGAGTTTCTTTAACATCTACCCAGTGGTTGATGAACCTTTCACGATAAAAGTTTCCTTCTAGAATACTGTTGGCTCCTAATTAAAAATAGATTAACCAAATCAGACCCAAGCTGTGTACCAACACACCCGACCAAAGGCAACAGGTGCCACAGAATTCCAGTGAATGGAATCTTGTTCTGTGATGGGGAATGGGGGGGCGGCTCAGGTAGATCATGGTGGGAGTTCCTGCATTCCCAGAGCTGGCTTCCCACCACCAGGCCTCCTCTATCAAGCCCTGTGATCTGGGAATACCCAGTTATTAATGAACTGGACAGGAGGCTTTTAGAGTGTGCTGATTGAAGTGAAGAAGAGAATTCCAGGAGTGGGGGTCGACTGGGGGGGATTCAAGCTGTGATCACGTGTGTGTGTGTGTGTGTGTGTGTGTGTGTGTGTGTGTGTGTGTGTGTGTGTGTGTGTGTGTGTGTGTGTGTGTGTGTGTGTGTGTGTGTGCTGCATGTACTGACTGAGCCTGTCCTGACCACAACAAACCAGTACACAGCTGCGCTGGAGGGCTTGCAGGCCTCAATGGAAGGGGGTCAATCCAAACTCTGAGGGGACCAAGGCATACCAAATCAGGGGGAGCCGGAGGCGGGGGGAGGGGGCGTACCTCTCTCCTCCAGGACAGAACTTTAACTGTGAATTTAACATTTATTATCATGTTTATGTATTTACACACACATATTTGACATTAAATCCCAACTCCGGAGTTTCAGCTCTATGCTGAGTCTCTGCGCTGTTGTGAGGGCTGTAAACGGCGCAGAAACTCCCGGGTCTGGGATCTCTGGGAGCCAGTCTCTATTGTTCAGATCCCTCCCCCTGCTTGGGAAGTGGGAGGACCCGAAAAAGGCGTTCCAAAAGGAGGAATTGTTTGGGAGCTCAGTCATCCAAAAACGGCCTTTCAATGTGAGAACTTGGGGAGCCGAAGAAGAAGTAGAAGAAGAAAATGTCGGTGGCATCGTAGTAAATTACTAAAGCAGCGAGGCTTTAGAAAGAACAGAGAAGGAAAAAGAGAAGCTACAAGTGTCTGTTTTTCCTGGGAAACTACAAGAAAGAAGAAAATCGACGAAGTGCGGCGGTTTTGGTGAGTTTTATCCCCTCATCGTGCGGTTTGTCCGTGTTGTTGTGTTGCTACTACTAAGCGAACGTGCTAACTTATTTAGCTGGTTTAGCTAATTTTCTGCTACATTTACGGTGAAAATAACAAATACGGAGGGTTAAATCCAGTTTATAACGGTCACTACACTCATGGTTCGTTTTGGTTTTGTGTTATTTCTCCCCACTCTTTCTGATTCCCCAAAACTTCCCTGCAACACACACACACACACACACACACCACACACACACACAGAAACATTTATTAGTGACAAACGCCACTGAGACGTTCAGGTTTTTGGGTTTAGATCTGCTTTTTCGGTACAGAGATGAACTTTATTTACCTGTTGGTGATCGCTTCGTTCAGTCTGTTTTATCCAAAATCTTAAGTTTCCTGCCTGCATCTGCGGTGTAACACGCACAATGCGTGTAAACAGAGATATCAGATCATTGTGACACGTCGCAGAGATTTGTAACTTTGTTTTTGAGTCTTTTCGTGCATAAAACGTCTTAAGCTGTTGCAGGCCGTAGCGAATAGTCACTCCCATAGGGAAGGAGAAAGAGACAGCGTGAGCTTACTGTGGAAAGCAGAATAAAGTTGTATTATTTAAAAAGGCATCATACATGTTCGTTTTCCCCAGAGAAATGTCACAACGAAGCTAGGTTTATTTTATGAATTTATTTATATAAGAGTACTTTGGGTCATCTGACCCTAAATCTCCAGAGTTTGCTTATGAAATGAAACAAAACATGTAAATAATTCACCAAACATGAACTAAAGTCAGGAGTAGTTTGCTGTGACTTTTAGTGGCTCGATGTCAAGTAATGTGGAGATATTTGATTTTAAAAACTGCAGAAATGACCAATATAAAGCAATGGGAATAGGGAGTGTTAAGGTACAGTAGAAACAGCATTAAAAGTGTAACTGGGTCAAGAAAAGCTGGACTTTAAATTAATTAACTTGCTTTTTAATAGCTTGTAATAGTTTTTACACAATCACAAGTAAACATTTGCATTATTTGGATATTTTTCATTGACATATTCAGTTGATGTAAACAAGGTTTAAACCAGCAATAGTATTCAGAGTGTTTGCTGACTCTTCACATTGGCCAGGTCACTCTACAAAAGAGATGTTAATCTCAATGAGACTTTTTCCTGGTTAAATAAATGTTATTACAATAATATTATTGTAATATATATTATAATAATAATAACATTCCCTCTACATTTTTGTACATGCATAAATTATACATTAATTCTGTTCTGTTAAATTGTTCTCGTCTACTTTCACTTAATAAGAAGGCAGGGAATGGGTACCCAAGCTTCCATTTAGCTTATATTATTCTCAAAACTAGAAAGCAAGAGAATTAAACTTGTCACATCTCGTATAGAAACCTTGTAAAAACATGAAAATGCACATTAGTGACCTTTCTGCTGCTCAAAGTTGAATATTTTTTCAGTGTTCCTGCTAGTAACTGTTTCAGTCTTACGCCATCCATTTGATGCACACACTCAAACACACACAATATAAACCAGAGATAATGAATGTTGGTCTCCACGTACCACAATGGGACTACCTGAGTGCACCCCCTCCCCTCACCCCTTAGACCCGGTGTCAGGATGACCCCAATAGAGCTGGTAATAAACTGGCAGCTGTTGGATCTGCCTTACAGGAATGTACGTGCTGTAAGAAGAGTTTCTGCAGAAATCATCCTCTCATTCAGGTCTGATTTAATGAGGAAAAAGTTTGTCAGCTGCTAATGAGCGTTGGCTTGGCGGCGTTGTCACGGGGGCATTTGCTGGAACAGCCACAGGGGCTCGAGTTTCCAATCCCAGGTGTCATTTTGTGATTTTAGGATTACATTTTAGCCTCCGCTGCCTCTTTGCAAGGAGCGATTCAGTGACAGACATGGCATCGGACAAGAGGGCCCGATTGTTCCCGCTGAATCGATGTCACTTGGATTAAAAGTCGAAACGAATGGCCTGGCCTCCCCCAATTAGGCGCACAGCCTATAAGCGAATTAATTGGTCTCAGTGAAAAGGGGGAGCCTTGTTGGGTTTGTTGTTTTTGTTGATCATCTCTGACAGGCGGGCGGATCAAAGTTGAACTAAATGATTATCTGCCTGTTTCTCACACTGCTTCAGCCATTTTCATTAGAGAGAACAACATGAGTTCATAATCAACCTCAGCAATCAGGGATTCTTCATTTTATACTCCCAAAACCTGTCAAGTCACTGCAGAAGTCAGATGATACAGCTGTTCTTTACGAATTCAGCATATGATGAAACATTTTAGACTTTTAGATTGCCAGGAAAACTATTAAAAGAGACAAATCTACTCCGGGTTGCTCTGTGTGAGGTTTGATTGCTGATTTTGGAGCTTTCCCCCCCTCTAGCTTGAAGACTATCATGTTTTCCTTTTGTTCTTTTAGCCAACTAATAGCTGATGGCTGTCAGAAAATGAAAAAGATATGGCGTGTTTTGTCAAAGCATGATTATAGGAATGAAGCGCCTATGGCAGCAGTTGGAAAAGCTGGAATTTGACCTTAAATGTACAAAACAAGATATTTGTGCTTGAATCTAGATAAAAACAGACGTGAATAAATGGTGTAAGAATAAATGGTGTAACCTTTATTGAGCACAACCTCTCCAACAAAACTGTAAAACAAAAATTCTTTCTGCTAAACAAACAGTAGGGACACAATCTGCACATTTCCAGCCGTTTTGCAGATTTTTTTTAACGTATTGTAGCTTGTAAAGGAATATTATGATGTGTCTTGAGGTCCGCAGCCAGTTGAAATAAAGTTTTTGACTCTTCTTCCCAGGTTTTTCAGAACCAATTCAGCAGCACCAAAGTGCGATATGAGTGGAAAGATGAGATTTTACTTGTTTGACTCTTGTCTGGCGCGTTTCTACGTCTGGATGTAAATCAAAGTCTGTAAAATTTTAAGATTCATTACAAGTGTGCACAGCCAGCAGATTCATAATGTCCGCTATTACTGCTCGGATCTCAGGTTTGGGAGCCAGCGGTTGTGACTCCAGTGCTGGAGGGCAGCATTGTTATTATAGTGGGTGTGACATTGGTGTTAATTGACAACAGAGGGAGAAAAAAATCCACCCTGATGGCAGACTTTCATCTCTCTGACAGTGGGTACACTCTCAGGACCTTTGCTACAAACGTGTTTGTGTGTGTGTTCAGTATCCCATCAAGACCATCTGGGTGTAGTTGCTTTGAGACCAGAAGAGCAAAAGGAGAAGGGTATTTTATAATTTTAGTGAGAGTTTTCTTTCTGAGTCAATGTAGTTTTCATAAACCAGCGAGGAATGCTGCCATGGCCAAATAAGGTTGCCTCCTTTTCCCTTGGCCGACATTATTGGCCCATTGACATATGATGCATTAGCCTTCCAGCGCTGACAGATTGGAGGCTCAGGCGCTAGCTCCCCCCTCCTCACCCAAAAGAGTTAGTTCAGTGTCCAGTCAGACATCGGATAACTAAAGAGGGACACCTGGACCGGCAGGTGGCCGGGGTCCAGACCCCCTCTTGAGGCTGCATACCACTATTCTCTTGATCCTCCCTACCAGAGCTGGAGGAATGTGATGTTACAGAAATGGGGGAGGATGGGACAGGAGAAAGTTCTGACAGTCTAAGTTAATTTAGATAAAATACCCGATGAGCTAAAGTGGAATGTAGATCAATTAAATGTCAGGAAACGAAATATGAAGGGATTGGAGATGCCACAGATCAAATATTAATCTTTGTTATGATAATATTTTAAATCTTGGGCAATTAATACTTTTCATACTATTTTTAACCAAATGTGCTTTCACCGTAGCAAACTACAGATGGCATTCATGTCTCAGAACATTTGCAATGGCTCTCAATTTCCCCATGCAAATCATGAATTTTGAACATGCTATAACTCTTTAAAAGACAAAGTTCTCTCTCAGTTTAGTGGCAAAATATACAAGAAACGTTAAGACAGCTTTGGGAATGGTTTGCAACCAAATAGCTAACGAAATTAGAATAGAAAACTTGCTTGGCGATCACAATTTGCAGTTACATCATATATGTGTGTGTATGTATGTGTATATATATATATATATATATATATATAAATTGTTGCAAACGTGTTGAATGTACAGTAAATGTTGTAGTTTTGTGCAGCTTTTCCTACTGGAGGGCCCGTAAATGACATCTGTTTATGTGTGTTACAGATACGATCTTATTCAGAGACATTGTACCAAGAGCTTACCACGGATTATCTAAAGCCTTTTAAAGCAGTCAAGTTGATTTGTTCAACTACTTAAAGTAAAACCTAAAAAGATCCTGATTGGATAATGAAGTCACTCCAGTCACTTTCCTTGTGTTTTTCCTCTCACACAAACAAGCCAACACACAGTTTGTGAGGGCTGAGTTTGCAGTCTTAGATCATCGATCAACTCCAGACTCTGCAAAGAAAGCTCTGTGTGTGTAGACAAATAAGTCTGTGTGCAAAGTAGATATTTGGACAAAGATTAGGGGGTGTTTTTATGAGCCAAAAGCAACGCAGACGCTCTAATAGATCATTCACACACAGACTCGAGCTCCTGCTCTGACTGGGACGGTTCACGTTAAGCCTCACAGTTATCCCTACCCCTTTGTTTTTAGTTTATTTTTGCATCGTACACTTTTATAAAAAGGTAGATTGCTGTCTGACAACAGCACATTGTATGTATTTCTTTGGTGTGTGTGTGAGGAACAATAAAAGCATCAAAATGGCACGTCAGCGAATCTGGCTTGTGTTCCAGGGCTCCAACCAGTAATCAGATTTATTGTGTTGCACTGAGAGAGAAAAGTCATCATTGAAGAATGTCAAACTGGCAAGAGAAGACATGATTCAACAGAATAAATCACTGGGCACCAGATCACTTCATTATTGGGCCCCTGGGGTTATCATAGCTGGAATGTTCCATCAGAAGAGCAGCTGTGTGCGTGTGTGCGCGCGCGT